AAAAAAAAAGAAATAGAAAAGCATAGGTGAAGCAGCATTTTTCACATTTCACCGAAGAATGTCCGAATGAACTTATTAAACTTATTGAAACAAAGATTACTACCTGGGTAGCTTATTTGGTGGAGCATCCAACTGTTGCTTTTGGCTCAGGTCATGATCCCAGGGTCATGGGATCGAGCCCCTTGGGCTCCACGCTGAGCATGGAGACTGCTTGAGAGTCTGTCTGTCTCTCTCTCTCCCTCTCTCTCTCTTTCAACACAAAACAAAACAAAACAAAACAAAACAAAACCACACACACACAAAGATTACTAGACTCCAACCTTGTCCAATTAATTTTCTTTTGAGAGAGAGAGAGCACGCGTGTAAGCACAAGCAGGGGAGGGGCAGAAGGAGAGAATCTCAAGCAGGCTCGACGCTCAGCACAGCGCCCAACACGGGGCTCGACCCCATAACCCTGGGATCATGACCTGAGCCGAAATCCAGAGTCGGACGCTCAACCGACTGAGCCACCCAGGCACCCTTAATATTTTTAATATTTTAATTGTGAGCTCATCTGTACAACTACTTAGTGGTTTGTTTTTGGGGTTTTTTTGTTTTTGTTTTTTTGCAAATTCTGTGTGGCCTGGGCAGTGACAGGACCCAACTGAGCTGGTTTGCCAGGCCCTGGCCAGGCATCCCTGGGTTCTCACCCACTCAGGATCAATTTTCATGGTCATTACTCTGGTAGGCTGTGTCAATGCTAACTGTAAACCACATGTAAGGCAGGCGTGGGGGGCTTTGAATTTTTATGAGAGACTATCTTTTCACCCAGAGCCCTGGGCAGAGATAAGCTACTGACAACTTTCACTGGTCCAGCAGTTATCGGAGTGTCCCGACTTTAAGGGGAGGGTCTCAGTGCCCCTCACACAGCCCAGGACTACCGCCTCTGCGCCGCCAGTGTCTGGTCTGATAACTACATTGCCAGCTTTCTTCTCATGGCACTGACTTTCAGTTCCTTCCTTTCTTCCCCTTCTTTCTGGTGAGTTCACCTGTGTCTCACAATTTGATTTTACATCCGGCCCTCTGTTGTCATGGTTATTCCTGAAGCTGGAAAGGTTCCTGTACTGCTGCAGTGGAAAGTCTCCCCAAAGTTCTTTAAGACCAGAATGAGAACCTCCATTTTTTCCCGTGTGTGCCTGTGTATGTGTCCCCGCGGGCGTCGCGCTTGCACGCGTGCGTATAATGTGCACGTGTCCCAGATGGAACCGGGAGTTCAATCCCGGCTGCTGGGTGCGCTTTTGGAATCAAAATGTCTTCATCAGAAATCATCCCCAGGGTTACTTATCTGCCCAAGATGGCAGCACGTCCGGTAAAAAGTACTCTGCCCTGATCCATGTCTTAGTGTCACGCTATTAACAGCTATTTATCAAGCACTTAGAATGTGCTCAACGCCTTGCATGAATTATTTACTCTCATCTTGTCACAACCCCACGAGGCAGACACTGTATTTCTACCCATTTTAGAAAGGAGGAAACAGGTATTTGGAGAGTAGCCAACTTGCCAGGGTTTATACAACAAAACCAAGACTGAGCTCTCTCTTCATTTCTACCTTCTCCGTCCTCGTAAATCATGAGCTTAGGTGTTGCTTTGCAAGCGACTCTACAGCTTTCCTGCCAAACTCTGTGGCTAGGCGATCCTTTGCACATTGGTTAAGAAAATGAGATCAAATGACATGATAAGTGCAAAAAGGACTTTTTATAAAATGCTAGAAATGACATCACTGCATGGTGGTTGTAACTCGCGCTACCGTGTTGAGATCAGGATCTTTTCACTCACTCCAAGTAACGTGTTTGATCAACCGAGTGGATAAAAGTTCTTTTTCCCCCAGTCTTCCGGAC